CAATCCACCTGTCACTCAAGTGGCCACGCCCTTAATTATGCAGAACTTTAAGGCTTAATATAATTTAAACGGATGAGTTATAAAAAAATTCACCCCCCTCACAGTTGTCATGAAGGGCAAAATTAGCTATATAGACCAAAATCAGGGTGTAAACATGTTTTTTTCTGCTGTAAAGTTGGGCATTTTAACATGGGGAGTCTATGGGATTGACTCCCTTTTGCAGCCAGCCTCTAGCGGCCAGTCGATGAATTACAGTTTAAGTCACTTCCGTGTTGGCTTCACGAGAGAGAGCGGGAGGCTGCCGCTTGGGCTGGAGAGACTGTGAAGCTGTTTCATTCGTGACAGATGACCACTGCTCTCTTTAGGTCAATGTCAATCGCACACGTCAAAGTTTGAGGAATGAAACAGACGAATCATTGTAATCTAGGAATAGAATCATGTTCGCGATCTTAAACGATCTGTTAAATTAAAGTGCTTTGTCATGTTGGCGGTGACGCCTCTCTTGCAACATGTTTAGCTATCACAGATATTATACACCGCTTTTTTTGGCTTCTGATCGCAAATGTAGCCAGACTTTGGAGCGCTTAGTTTAGCGAGCAAGGTCCTGGCAGATCGCTAGCTCCGGTCCTCACAGATGAAGAAGAAGAAAAAGGGGCATAGGAATCGATAGGCGGAATCGAAATTTTAATTTGACAACAATTATCCGATTCTGGAATCGGTATTCGATTTTCGATTCCCAGCCCTAATCGTGAACGCGGCTCGCTTGCGTACCGGGAGACACCACAGCCTCCGGGTCGTCCATGTCAAACGCAGCCATGTTTCCGATAGCAAAACCATATCCGGAGTGGACATCAGGTAAGCCGATGGAGCGCTGCGGAACAGATACAAATTAGAAAAACAGGAAGAAGCAACATGATGCGTTTCCTGTGACAACAAATCCTGATCATTTAACTCACATGTACGATTCCTGGCAAAGCGGCAACGTTTCCAATCTGCTTCATAGCAGGCAAGAAACCACCAAACCCTGTGAAAACAGCATCTTTCACTAATACTTTATATGCAATTTAAACAATTACAACTTTAGTCCGCTCAACTGATTTTGTGACGACGTTTTAATATTCTCAGAATTTCATGCATTAAAATGTTTTAATAATAACTATAGGGTGCATTGGTAAATATTGTTCTATTAGTGCATATAATGATGAAATACTCATTAAAATACAAAAATAAAATATTACAAAATTAATATTAAGTAATTAAATATATAATAATATTAAAAATATTGCAAAGTTAATATTAATTAAATATATATATAGTAATATTAAAAATATTACAAAGTTAATATTAAGTAATTAAATGTATAGTAATATTAAAAATATTGCAAAGTTAATATTAAGTAATTAAATGTATAGTAATATTAAAAATATTGCAAAGTTAATATTAAGTAATTAAATGTATAGTAATATTAAAAATATTACAAAGTTAATATTAAGTAATTAAATATATAGTAATATTAAAAATATTACAAAGTTAATATTAAGTAATTAAATATATAGTAATATTAAAAATATTACAAAGTTAATATTAAGTAATTAAATATATAGTAATATTAAAAATATTACAAAGTTAATATTAAGTAATTAAATATATAGTAATATTAAAAATATTACAAAGTTAATATTAAGTAATTAAATATATAGTAATTAAAATATAAATAAATATTTTTAATTAAAATATAAATAAAAAATTTTTGGGGGGGGGGAGAAACTAGTTTTTCTACTGCATTTTATTTCTTGCATTAAACATTTTGAATCTACGTGTTTATAAATAAAGGCTGTTGCAAAGTTAATTCAGAGCAGATACACGTGTATTGATTTAAACAATTACATTGTTAAATATCTCATGTTCCGTTATAAGAACTTGGACCTCGAGTCTGTAAGGTGTTTTATGGCTTTCAGCAGTGTGCATGTATGATTAAATATGAATATGACTGCCATGAGTGTGTGTGTCTGATATAGTAATTAAAATATAAATAAAAAATTTTTGGGGGGGGGGAGAAACTAGTTTTTCTACTGCATTTTATTTCTTGCATTAAACATTTTGAATCTACGTGTTTATAAATAAAGGCTGTTGCAAAGTTAATTCAGAGCAGATACACGTGTATTGATTTAAACAATTACATTGTTAAATATCTCATGTTCCCGTTATAAGAACTTGGACCTCGAGTCTGTAAGGTGTTTTATGGCTTTCAGCAGTGTGCATGTATGATTAAATATGAATATGACTGCCATGAGTGTGTGTGTCTGACTGATTATACAGCACAATCAGGAGTATTTCTCAATCATTTCTAAGCCATAAACCAAACCAACCATCGTTGTGTATTTCACAATGAGCCCTCAAGGTGATGAAAAACACAAATGAAATAAAACGGCTTGCTATAACAGAAGTATGATTTACAAAAAAGCCCTAATTTACTTATTTATTGACATAAAATATATATTTTTCCTTTTTTCCTTAACCTAACGTTCCATTCCAAAGATACATTGTTGTTGCCAAGGTGTTTGCACAAATTGTTCACTAAAAAAAACATCATAAATGTGCTGTAACTTCACCTCCACCGCGACAGGCGTTTCTCAGCTCCTCAAACATGAGTTTCTCCAGAGGATCATTCACATAGAAAACACCCTCCACCTGAAGACCAAAACAAACACAACATTTCACATTAAAACCACAATAACATGAGGCAGAATCTGATTTACAAACACATGACAGCTGAATAAAACCACTATTAATCAGCACAGAGACTGTACTACTACCCAAGCACTACTAATTTAGTTTTTTTTAATGTAGTGTTTGAATATTTCGGTTTATTAATGTTAATGCGTCACTGAAACACACCCGAAAGCGAGCACGTTTGCGGCGGATTTACCTGCATGTTCGGCACGAAGCCCTTCTTGATCCGCCAGCAGTTCTTGCGGATTTTATCCAGATACTGAAGCTCATCGTTATAAGTGCGACTCATTTTAAAATAGAATTAACAGACGAACTGTTGACAGCAAACTATCTTCACACTATCTTCTTCTTCTTCTTCTTTTTCTTCTTCTCTTGCTTTATACGCACGGGTTCGTTCGGGATCTTCGGCGCCACCTGCTGTTCGCACACATTACATCAAAAGAGGGCGCTGTTGTCAGCGAGTGCTATTTTATTAAATATTAGTAATTACGTTTATAGCGCAAAAACATGTCTAAAAAACGAAAACCGTCTGGATATTTTAATGGTTTAATTCCTGATATTTTTTTTTTGTCCGCCTGTTGGACAAATTCAGTTACAAAACGCATCAGCCTTTTCACTGCCCTCTTGTGGTGAAATATAGAATTGCATTGTATACGCAGCACTGTAACGAATACATAATTTGTCCAATATTACAAGCGCTTTATTGTCATTGTACTGGCCAGCGAGATTATTTTAATGCGCCACACGGTTATTGCAATTAATGTAGTAAATAGAGAAAATTAACAGAAATATACCCAAGTGGGATTAACAATTTAATTGTTAGGGATTTTTTTTTTTTTGTTGAAAGTTTCCGGAAATTTACCGGAAATTTTCCACCCCTTTGCAACCCTAATAAAGACATACTAGAGACAAATAATGAGTATACTAACAAAATAATTACTATTATTATTTAAACTGATGTTTCAATTATGCACCTAAATTAATTAATACAATTGCTCTGTACCGACCTACGACAGCTAAACACCTTTAAATAGTTGCTAGTTAATAAAATACAATACATTTTTATTATTTGACTGACAAATAATATTAAGCTGTAAAACTTCAAAACGTGTCAGATTTATGACGTAATTGCGGGACTTTTATTTTGGAAATCTCGCTCAGCTGTTTTTGTTTGGCTTCACTGCGTTACTTTGACTTGCGTGAAAGGTACGTTTGTTTTTGTTCCTTTTTTATTGAATACAAACATTCAGCAGAGGCTTTTCTTGATTAATTTGCAGTGGCCTAATAACGCTGAACTAAATGCAATAAATAACGCTGAACTATTGCTGTATAAGTAGAAGTAAAATGTTATTAAAGGTCTTTGCGGAGTGTCAGGGATGTCACGTGATTCGCTCCGAAGCGAAATGAAAGTGAATGTGAGCGGATCTGCTTTCATTCAGGTGCAGAATGAAGCTCAGGGTGAGAATCAACAGACAGACCCGCAGACTGGAGCTGGACGGACCAGAACCGACCCTGTCGGAGCTCAGTGCCCGGGTCAGAGACGCCCTGCTGCCTCAGTGCGGACTGGGGTGAGTTTGAGATGCTGCTGCTGCTCCTCTTGGTTGTGTGTGTGTGTGTCATATTACTAATCAAAAATTAAGTTTTGATATATTTACGGTAGGAAATTTACAAGATATCTTCATGGAACATGATCTTTACTTAATATCCTAATGATTTTTGGCATAAAAGAAAAATGTATAATTTTGACCCATACAATGTATTGTTGGCTATTGCTACAAATATACCCCAGCGACTTCAGACTGCTTTTGTGCTGCAGGGTCACAAATGTGGTATTAGTAGCTGGATTTTCCATATGGCTTTGGTTTGATCTGTAGTATTGCTCACACGTTAATTTCTGCCCATCTGAAGCAGCTCTCGTGTGTCTGTCTCTCTCTGCACAGATCTGATGTGGAGTTCAGTCTGTCTCTGAACGGGAAGGCGGTTCTGCTGGACACGGGACAGACGCTCTCCTCGTGTGGGGTTGTTTGTGGTGATATGATCGCTGTGATTTTGCCCCAGCAAACACAAACTGCCCCAGAAACCCCTGCTCTGACAAACACACCCACATCCAGCGAGGAGGTGAGCTCAGACCCAGAAATATGCAATTATAGTTTATTGCAACATAATTATTATAGTTTGTTAATTTTTGTTTCAGTTTAAGTTATTTTAGTACATCAAATTAAACTAAATGAAAATGAGAAAGTAGCTGGAATAAAAATAAGTTTAATTTTTACATTTTTAATGCTTATTTTATGCAATGTAATATTTTATGGTTTTAGTTAACTATAATAACCCCGATTTGATTACATTTTAAAAGATTAATTAAATTGTTAAAGTTTTGTGCATTCATTTGTTCACCACTATTTCTGATAATAAATTGTATTAAATCATAAAATACAGAATCCATAAAAATTTAAACGGCCAGTAGAGAATTTCTGAGGAAAAATACATTTCATAGGGCACTATTATTGGTAAAATTAATTAATTATTACATTTTTAAAAGTTTTATGAATTCATTTGATTATCATTGTTTTTTGTGTAATAAATTTGTATTAAATCACAAAACACAGAATATATAAAAAATAAAAAACGGAATTCCTGAAAACATATTAAATAGTATTATATGTTTAATTGGTTTGATAACTTTTTGATAATACATTTGTATTAAACATTAAATACAGAACCCAGAAAAATGTACACAGCACAATAAAAAAAACAATGTAATTTATTAAATAAAATGCATTTTATATTTCACTATTATTGTTAAAAATTATAATATTTATAAATTATTAAATTGCTAAAGATTTATGAATTACATTTACTACATCATTTTTGATCATTTAAATTTAATTAAAAAATTAATACAGTAATCACACAATTTGGTTCCATATGGCCCTAAAACTGCACTGCTAGCATTATATTATAAGCAACAAGAACCAAAGAAAAGAAACTGAAATGAGCCTGATGCCGTGAGTCAGCATGTTTGTGTGTGTTTGTGAGTGTGTGTGTTTGTGAGTGCGAGTGTGTGTGTGCGTGCGTGCGTGTGTGAGTGCGTGTGTGTGAGAGTGTGCGTGTGCGAGTGTGCGTGTGTGCGCGTGTGCGAGTGTGTGTGCGCGTGTGCGAGTGTGTGTTTGTGAGAGTGTGTGCGGTGTGTGTGCGTGTGTGTGTGTGTGCGTGTGTGCGTGACAGAGAGAGAGAGAGTCCTCAAAGCAGCTTTTGTCTTTGTCTTGTCTCAGGCTGAGCCCGGCGGTGGCGGTGGAGCAGACAGCAGCAGTGTGAGGGATTCTGGGATGGAGGAGTGGATGGAGGATGAGGAGGGTGTGTCTCCGCCGCTGCTGTGCTGTGAGACGGAGGATGGAGTGATTCCTCACACGCTGGAGCGCCTGCTGAACTCGTCCAGCTGCAGAAACCCGTCCGACTGTCTGATGCTGGCGCTGCATCTACTGCTGCTGGAGACCGGCTTCCTGCCACAGGTCAGAGTTCACGCCATGACCTCTGCTGACCCTCACACACTCCATTCATGTTATTAATTAACAGAATTAATGCTCTTACTTTGGTTTTGATACTGCAGGCCAACAAACAAATCTGTACATTTTTAGAGATTATCATAATCATAACAGAGATTTTAATTCAAATTAACAACCAAATAATTGATGAATCATTGACATACAGATATTTAAAATATACTTCAAATTTTGCAGTGTAAATATGAATTTTACAAAAATATATAACTTAACTGTAATTGTAGTTTCATCCATTCATACATTTATAAAAAAGCGTTTTAATAGATTAATGTTTGGTATTATTAATGTAATAGTGTATAATAATAATACAGAATTTTTTTTATCCCCAAGAAAACTGTTGTTAAAATTTGATCAATTCAGTTGTTAAAGTTTTATGAATTCAACTGATTAGACATTATTTTTGATTATTAAAATGTAATTAAAAAATTAGAACAACACAGAATATGAATTTTACAGAAAAATATTCTTAATTGTAGTTTTATCCATTTATAAATGTTAATAGCATTTAAATTGATTAATGTTTGCTATTATTATTGTATTATTATTGTGTATATAGAAAATACAGCAAGAACTCTATAGGATTGAATATTAAAATGTAATTTAAAAATTAGAATGAAAAGCACAGAATTTGGGAATGAATAAAACAGATTTCATACGGCCCTAAAACTGGCATGAATTAATAATCAACAATAACAAAACAAAACAAAAGAAACTGAAATGACAAGCTTTTTGTTTTTGTTTAATGGATTGAACAACATTTCCAGCATTTCTTCTGACTTTGCACTTTACATTAAAATTATAACTTTATAATACTATGTGAACTTACACATAAAGTTGACTTTAATGCATGCATGCGATATTAATTACCAAATTCTAATAAAATGTGTGTAAAACACAGGTGTTTTTAACTGTTTTTAAGTTTGAACGTATCAACATATTAACAGTCTGAGAGTCATATTAAAATCAAAAAAAGATAAATAATCAAAAATTAATCGATCATCAATTAATCATTCACATCCCTGATCTGAATATCCAAACGATGACACACTTTTATACATAATTGCTCACAGAGTCTCACATTGGTTATTCTCTCTCTCAGGGTTGTAATGTGAACTCGGGCGAGATGCCGATTGGCTGGCAGGCAGCAGGGGGCGTGTTCAGAGTTCAGTATTCCCACCCACTTCTGGAGAGCAGCCTGGTGTCAGCGGTCGCCGTGACGATGGGCCAAACGCTCGTCATTAATGGTGTGTTAATCTGCACACGGCAGCTGTTATTAGTCTTCCTTCCTTCATTTGATTTGATTAATTGATTATTTGTTGTGAAACAGCTGTTCTTAAGATGGACAAGACTGTGGAGAATTCACGCAAGCTGGTGCTGAAACCAGACGATTATGTGACCGCTGATTGGGCAGGTAATTTTAGATATGTATCGCATATTATATTTACATTGCATGAGTATGAGTGAACTGTATTACCTACAGTATATTAATCACAGAAAATAATGCTGATCCTCAAAGTCATGATGAAATGGAAGTAGAGACATATATTTTCTTCCGTATTGTGATTAATAAAAACTATAGAGAAATATACATACACAAATAAGTAAAACTTTAAAATTAAAGTGAAAATTGAAAATATAAAAATATACTATTACAGTTTTTGTTAATATTTTTTATCAATAGATACTGAAATAACACTCATGTGAACACAACTTATATTAATAGTTATATTAATAAAAAAGTACATTTCTAAAAACTATATGTGACCCTGAAGCACAAAACCAGTCATAAGGGTTTCAATTGTTCAA